AGGAGCGTGTGGGACACATGGGAAGCGGAGGTGAAGACGAAATGCCAGAAGATTTGAAAAAGTACGGGGCCTCATAGAGTCTGTCTGTCCATTTGCACGTTCCCGGGCCCCTGTACGAGTAGAGGAAGAACAAGACGCCGTGCGTAAAACTGAACGTTCGGAGCTCCGCGCGGATTTCCAGAATCGGCACTACGACCCCCTCCCTGGCGCGCGGAGCGCGCCAGGGTCGGCGCAGGAGGCGCCGCCGATCCGAGGAGTCCGCCAGGCCCTCCGAGCGTTTTTGTGCTCGCTTGTCTTCGACGGCGACGGTCTGCCCAGCCTGGGCCGCCCGCGTCCTCGCCTGCCGCTCGCTCGTCTTGACTTGCCTCTAAGCGCTGAAGCTTTTAGAGGAGGAGGAGGAGGAGGAGGAGGAGGAGGAGGTGGAGGAAGAGGAGGAGGAGGAGGTGGAGGAGGAGGAGGAGGAGGAGGAGGAAGCGGAGGAGGGGAGGGGGGAGGAGGAGGAGGAGGAGGATTTGCACCGAGCGCTCCAATGAGCTCAGAGAGGGGGGGGAGGCGGAGGAGGAGGAAGGTGAGCTACCCCTCCATGCCCCTCGCGCGCCTTCCTGTTGAAGGCCTTGGCGCGAGCGGAGGCACCTGGGAGGAGGCCTCGGCGGAGCTTGCGCAAGTTATCCTCCCCTTTGGAGGAAATCTGGTGCGAGCATTCCTGGGCGAGGCCTTGGATAGCTCTGTCCATTCCGATGGCCCCACAGCTGGTGCATGCCCATCCGTCAGCGTGCTCAAAAAACTGGCACGTGTGTGAGCTGTGCACCTCTTGGTTGCCGATGCGAATGGGGCCAATGGATGAGGCAGAGGGGGTAGCACGAGGGTCGATCGGGGTGCAAGGGGTCGCGAGCCACTCGATAGCTCCGCTCCGAGCCAGCTTCTGGCGACACACTGCACACGAAATCCGAGACCCCTCGAAAACGAGACCAGGACGATGGGCGGAAGAAGCGACCGCTTTCTCGAGGCGAGTCAAGGCCGCTTTCCGAACTCCTTCGAGCGGCCTGGCCCGCTCTCTTTGCCCCCTGGAATCGTGACTGGCAGACGCGATCAAGGTGGCTGCGAGACGAGCCCGGACCTGCTCGGCGACGGCGTCCACTCCAAGGACGCTGCCGGCGGTCTCTGGAGAAACCTGATTCTGAGCAGCCTCCCACCCGGCTACTCTGTCGGCCTCCTGGTTGGCCAATCTGAATAGCTCGGGGAGGCCGCTCGTGCGGAATCTTTCCGCATCCACATGGCTCTCAACTTTAATCAAGGCGATCCTGCGAAGGGGGCAGGAGCGGAGGTCGAGCGAGATGGCGTGCCAGAGGTCCTGGTTAGATTCAGGCTTGGACCCGGCCTGGAGCCGAAGCCAACCACGCGCAACGTAACCGCTATCTGTCAGGAATGTCAGATCTTCGCGCACGTGCAATAAACAGTCCAAAAATGCTTTCAATTCTGATCGGTTGCTGGTCTGTCTGCGGCCAGCGAGGGCAGCACTACGACGGCGGTACACTTGGACATGGGGCAATGCGGGGTTAACCTCGACCCACGCCCAGGCACATCGACGCAACCTTGGGTCCTTAGCATGCTCACCACCCGACCCGTCCCCCGCACAAAGACGTCCCAGCACCTCAGGCGGGGCTCCCTCCTCGCCGTGGCGCGTGTCGCGCTCGGGGGGTGGGCCTTCGCCTTCATTCGCTGGATACTCGACGTCGTGCGTATCGACAGCGTCAGGAGGGGCAGGGATAGGGACAAGGGAAGCAGGGATGAGGCCACGAAGCCAAAAACACACGTTGGCATCTGAATCGAGGGCGGTCTTCGCCGCCTCAACAAGATCAGCTGAATCAGTACACTCGGGAAGAGAGTCATTGCACTGGCACTCCCACGCACGATGCCTGAGCGTCTCAGGGGCGAGACCACATTTGGGGCAAGTGGGGTCGAATTCGCCAATGGCACACTCTGCAACTCTCTGTCTGGGCCACATGCCGGCCGCGGCTGCACACTCGATGGCCGCATGCCGTTCGTACTCTTGTGCCTTGCCTAGCCTCGACAGCTGCAGGCGGAGGCTGAAGAGATCCACGCCTTCCTGCAGCCCACCCCCCAGGTGCTGTGCGGACGCGCCTGCCCAAAGCTTCCGCTCCACGGAGGCGTGCACGGCGGCCAGCAGGTCGGAGGGGTAAAGGCGGCCAGGCAAGCAGCAAGGGACGAGGGGTCTTGAGTGGGGGCCTCCCAGCGCTCTTCGAATGGATCCAGCCACTCGAGGAGCCCGGGAGCGTCCCACCCAAGAGAAAGGAGAGAGGTGATAATGGCAGAAATCGGCCCCCTAATATTGGACCAGCGACGCTTGAGAGGAATGGAAATAATGCGAGCGTAAACGCGCTCCCAAGACTTCTGCAGACGACCGATGGGCGTGCCGTCTTTCTTGAGAAAGCGAAACCACTCAACTAACAAGTCAAGCACGGCCACGATGGCTGGATCGCGAGACCCAAATCTGAGAGCCAGGACCGTGGTTAAACACCTGCCCTGCTTCTGTTCCCACACTGCACGCGCCGCCGCCTGCCGTAGTTTTTTCAATCGGCTGGGAGACGCTCCAAAAACTTTAGATTCGTACATCGCCTGGGGCACGGCACCGGTTTTAAACAGTTTGAGTCTAATATGCTGTTTCAGGGATCTCAGCGTGGAGATGCGGTTGCCCCTGCGGACCCCTTTACGCCAACGCTGGAGACCCCTAGACCTACGGATGTGGACGTGGGGCCCCCGATCGATGCCTAAATCAGGGGCGCTGTGCAAAACCTGAATGCTAATTCCTGACTGCTTGAGCTCGCTTGCAACTGTCTTGGCAATGGTGGCAGTTGAAGCGATGACACAGGATTTGCTAGACAGAGAGAGGTGCAGCTGATCTAACCCCTCTTTGAAAGCCACCACGAAAGATACAGTCTGATTGGTCACATTCTTGGCCGTGCCTTCAGCTCACGAGTTCACATCATCAACCCAAGTACGTGCCTCAAGCCCTGGTTGAAACCTGGAGTTGAGATCAAACATGAGGTCGAACAGCATGCAGGCAGCGAGGTGTTGGGCGGAACGACACCCGGCTAGCAACCCCCAAAGAGCCTCGATGGCGGGAGAAAAGGACCGGAGGCTTCGGAGGTACCTGGGGGCCAGGTGTAACTGTATACTGAGGGCGAGCACGATACATGGGTAATTATGTTTGGTAGCTAATTGCATGACTAGCACAGGGTCTAAACTGTCATAAAAAGTTTCAATATCGCACAACGCCGAGCAGGTAGAGACCTTGAAAGTAGCAGCGCTTTCGTCTAGTACCAAGCGTTTTAAGGCGGCTTGGACAGCGGAACTGCCTTTCACAGCGTCGTCGAACCGAGCCCGGCGTTGGCGTTCGAGGGACCACTGGTCAGTGACGTCTCCTCGGAGCTGCTCCCACAGACGTGCCACGAAAGCAAAACTGGCGATGCTGCGATCTGCCCCCGAGTCCTTCGGCAAGAGAGCAATCCATGCCCTGAGCATCTGCCAGGGCCAGGCGATGTTGTTTTCCATCGCCTGGTAAACGTCGAGCAACTCCTGGCGGGCAGCTGGCGGCAGCCTAGCTATGTCACGCGCACTAATATTGACACATCCTCTGGACTTACGCTCGGGCGTGCGCTGGAGGATAAGGTCGAGGCGAGCCAACTCAAGAGGAGGGAGGGGAGGGGCCTCCAGAGCGCACTTTCTTACCTCTTGAAATGCTGCATGGAGCTCGTGATCGTTACTGCGACGAGACCATTTGTTTATCCAGGACTGGGCCCGGACATGCATGAGCTCGACTGGGGTAGTCGTCGGCAAGCTGCCTTCTCCGAGGGCTTCTACCGTGGTGCGAGGTTTCGGCTTCACCATCTTATGTAATGTGCCGAGACTGCTGGGTTGTTCCGCCCAGTCGCTGAAGCTCTTAAGAGCTCGATCTGTGACCGTGCGAGAGGCTCTGCTGAAGTTCCGGTCGGCTGCGCCGGCTAATAAAACGACCTGCTCCGCTCCTAGATTCGGTAGCTCCCCGAGCGCGCGCCGCCAGGACTTGACCGCGGCGCCGTCGAGGGAGGGAAGTTTCAAATCGCCGAGCCGAGGAGCCAGGGACTCCACGCGGTCCCAAATCTGCTTGGTAGTTCGCTCCCTGCCAGGCTTGGAGTCGGTCTTTGAAAGCACTCTGCCCAACAAGGCAAGGTGGGAGCTCAAAACAGCCCACCAATTGACATCATTGTGCACAGACTGCAATGGTGCCGACTTCCGCGAAACAGGACGTTTGGAAAAAGGCTCGACCACAGCTCGTCCCTTAAAGGAGGCTTGGGCCTCTGGCGGAATGGCGTATGCTTTGCAGTAAAATGATTCCATACGAGAAGCCCACGCGCCAAACTGCACAGCAAGCTGTTTAGAGGCAGCGGGGGCCGACAGATACCCTAAACAGCTTCGGATCTCGGTAGGGGCTCCTCGCCGGACCTCCTCCAGGGCCCTTGGGTCGGGTTCCACCTCGTCCCAAAGATCTCCTAACGTCCTGGTGTCAGGCGGATGAGGTCCAGGAGGAGGAGGAGGAGGAGGAGGAGGAGGAGGAGGAGGAGGAGGAGGAGGAGGAGGAGAGGGGTCATCACCTGGGGCCTGGTCGGCCACTGGGATGTCTTCTTCGGGAGCCTGACCTACCTCTGGGAAGCCATCATCGTCCTCGGGCGCCTGGCTTACCTCAGGGTGGAAATCTCCTGGGTTCTGGCCGTGGCCTGGAGCCGGCTCAAAAGGTGCGGCGGCATCCGAGAAACCAGGAGCGCCCTCTCCACCGCGCCGGGGCTTCGAAGCCCGCATGGGGGAGGAGGGAGGGAGGAGGAGGGGGAGGGGAGAAGGAGAAGGGGTGGAGGGACGCAAGCGGCTACGCAAGGATTTTTTGCTATTCGTGTCAGGCAACCGCTTGGGCAGCGGTGGGTGCGGAAAAGGCTTGGGCACTGTACAAGTGAGGTGCTCCGCGTCGGCGGGGTCGAGGCCGATGTTTATCTGGAGCGCTGCGTGCTCCTTCCACTCCCCGTCCATAACCGAGCGAACGGAGCGTATGAACGGGGCGAGGTCCTTGGCGCAAACGGCGAAGTCGAACAACCGGCCCTCGCCAGCGAAGCTCGTGACCTCGACGTTTTCTGGAAGCAGCTGCGTACCGACGACTTTCTCCAACCAGTCGTCGAGATCGTTCGGCTCCACATTCCAGTCGCCAAAAGCAATCCATGGGGCAGCCTGCGCCGATAGGAAGCCGCCTAGGGCGCGAAGCTTGCGCAGATTCCTGCCCTTGACCCCGATGCCGTGGTCGAGGTAGATCTGGACCAGAACTATCTGCTGCCATGAGGTTCGGACGCTGACGGCTGAGAAATCGTGAAAGTCGATGGGGCCACTGCCAAGGGAACTCAGAGCTTGGACACCATGGCTGGTGCCGTAGCACTGGGAAGCGTGAGCTGCAAGATGTGAGAAGGAGTGGACGTTGAGGCCCCTCTTGGCCGCGATGAGGGTACCTCCTGCTTGTAGCACGTGGTCTCGGGGCATTGCGGGCGAAATGACAGGGCGCCATCCAGCCTTAGCGATGTTGTCACCGAGGTCATTGATATCAGCAGGACCTGTATGGTGTTCGCACAAACCAACGACATCGTAAGCCTGCCACTGGCTTTTCAGATGCTCGAGCACCTTCGGGCCCCACCGAGTAATATTGCGCATGTAGATCTTCAGGCACCTGCTTCCAGTAGTGGAGGCGGCTGTGCCATGAGCGTGGTTATCGCAGACGCTGGCCGCGCCTCCCTCTTGATCGTGCCCGGGGAGGTGGGCGGCTGGTTGTCACTTGCTGGGGCCAGCGCCCTTGCCCTTGCCTGCCTTGGCCATGGCAGCGTCGAAGAGCTCGGCAGTGCGGGCATCAACACGGCTCTTGGTGGTTGCCTCCGCCTCGCGGGAGACGGTTGCGGCGGCGTGCGGCTCCTGCGCCTGCGACTGGGCCGCGGGAGGAGCCGCGCCGGCGGCGCCAGGGCTACCCTCTGGGGTTGCCGCGGGGGCGCCAGCCGCTGCCTGGCCGTCGTTGGTCTTCTTCCGCTTGTGGCTGACCAGCCTCGCCTTCTGTTCGCGGAGGCCTTCAATCTCGGCCTTCACCTGCGCAGCCATCGGGGTGAAATGATCTTGCACCAGCTTCTGGATGAACTCGCCGAGCTGCTGCTTCCGGTTGTTCCACTGCTCGATGACCGCCTCCGCGCCGTCGTCGAGCTCCTCGAGGCCAACGTCGAGCTGCAACAAGTCGCCCTCCGTGATCTGGATGGCCTCGCCCTCCAGCAGCGCCATGAGGTCGATCCCCTGCTTCCCGTGCATGACCTGCGGGGCTGTCTTGGGGCGCGGTGCCAGGTTTGCACGTACCTCCTCCTCGGCGGCCTCAGCGGCAGCCAGGGCAGCAGACATGTCCTGGAGGTAGTTGGTGGCGTTGTCGAGCTGCTGCTGGGCCTTGTTGACCCAGTCCAAGGCGCCGTCATACTTGGATTGCGCCTCGCGTGCCGCCATGGCTGCACGCTGCAGCTGAACCTCAGGCAGCTCCGGCGGTGCGGGCTTTGGAGCAGACTTGGCAACCTGCTCCTTCAGCGATGCGAGGGCCGACTGGTCGATGCGCTTCGACAGCACCTGGAGGGCGTCGTTGACGACGATGTCCTCTTCTTCCAGGTCTGTAACCACCTGGCCTCCTTTGGCTTTCTTTTTCTTATTCTTCTTTTTCTTCCTCTTGGGCCATTGGTCCGTGGCAGCGCCTGCCGTGCCCCACCTCCCGTCGGGCAGCGGTGGTGGCGAGAAAGACGGCCTTGGCGGCATTGCGGGACCGAATGGCGAGAAGAAGGGCGTAGCGAATGGGTTCGTCTGGAAAGATGGCAGCGGCGGCGGCGTCCACTGAGGAGGCGGCGGCACGGCTGCACTGGTAGGCACGAGCGGCAGCGTCGGCGGCGTTGCCCACTGCCCCTGCGGCGCCCGCTGGGACGTCTGCTGAGGCTTGAGCGCGCAGCCGCAGTGGTGGCACTTCTCATTCGTGCGCCAATTCCACTTGTAGCTGCACTGAGGGAGGGAGGGAGGAGGGAGGAGGAGGAGGGAGGGGGGAAGAGGAGGGAGGGAGGGAGGAGGAGGAGGAGGAGGAGGAGGAGGAGGCGGAGGAGAAGAAGGAGGAGGAGGAGGAGGAGGGAGGGAGGATGGAGGGAGGAGGGAGGAGGAGGAGGGAGGGGGGAAGAGGAGGGAGGAAGAGGAGGGAGGGAGGAGGAGGGAGGAGGGAGGGAGAATCATGCTTATGTTGACCTACCCTTACCCCACGGGGGGCACTCTGGTGGCACAGGGCGTTCTCCTGCGTGTGAGAGCACAGGTCGCCTTCCGGTCCAGCGTCGCCGACAAGGAGGCGCACGGCAAGAGGATCGGGGGACGGCGAGCCGAACCGGCCTCGCTTCGAGTGAAGGGTTCACCAATGTCGTTGATTTGAGCTCTGCGTGTGTAGCTTGTTGGATTTTCGTCGTTCGCCAGAGTGCAGCAGGTACGAGGCATTGTGTACAGTGGAAACCAATGATAGGGTTAAGTCGGGCCTGTCCCTCCACAGGAGGAAAATCCCGAAATAGTCAAACAAAATAGCCAGGGGACGATTTTGTACTATTTTCGAACATGTCTGTTGCATGTTTGGATTATGTTTTACTTTCCTCCGAAAAAAACGCCTGTAGGGGGACAGGCCCGACCTAATGATAGGGATGGGTAACCTTCCCAAAGGCACCCGTGCATCCGTGCCTCTTCCGTCCATCCTCAACAACAGTCGATGGCCCGCGCTTGCAGAAGCTCCGACATGCACATCCAAAGTCTTGCTTGCATCCTCATCGCGCATCCTTGTTATCGGTATTGGCCGTCCATTCTAGAGCGTTCCGAAACGCTCTCAGAGCGTTCCGAGACGCTCTGAGAGAAGGCCGCGGCGCCCGAGACATGTTGCAGAGCCACCGGATCTCAGAGATTCTCGATGTGTTTTCACCCGGTTGTATTCTCGTCCTGGCTTCGTCTTACGGTCGGACCGAGGTTTTTGAGCGAGGTCGGTTCGGGGAGGGCACCTTGATGTGCCGCGTGCTCGCTGGACGTGCTTGTGCCTCCTGGGGAGGGCTCCCTCAGATGTTCTGTGCGTTTCGGCCGGCGGAGGGCCTCGTGTTCGTGAAGGGTGAGCTTCTGGATTGTACTTCTCCCCTGGCTTGGCCGTCCACGGACGACGGGCGACGATGCTGGGCTTCCCCCTGGGCCTACGCACCCCGCCTTGATCACACTTCTCGCACGCACGGCGGACGACGGACGACGGACGGCGACTGGGACGACCGGGACGGCGAGGGTGAGGACCAGAAAGGAGGGGGGGAAGGAGGAGGAATGCGAGGAGGAGGGCGAGGAGGAGGAGGATGAGGAGGAGGAGGAGGAGGGAGGAGGAGGAGGAGGAGGAGGAGGAGGGCGAGGAGGAGAGGCGAGGAGGAGGGCGAAGGGAGGGCACCGTTGGATGTTCTGTTTGTTTGGGCTGGCGGAGAGTCTCGTGTTTTTGAGGGGATGTTCTTCTGGCCCAGGTCTGGCTGCAGGCTCCTCGCGTCGCCCACGCCAGCGAGGAAGAGCCAACCTCTCGAGCGGGGGAAGAGCTAGCCTTCGAGTAGGAGGGGAGGAGCAGAAGGAGGAGGTGGAGGAGAAGGAGGAGACGCGTGATGAAAAAGAGGAGGAAGAGCAGAAGTCATTAGCCCCAGAATCGACGTTTCCGAGAGTCGACGAAGAATGCGAGCGAGAGGCGGCTTGCAGAGCCTGTGGGGGGGGCCTAGTCCCAGGCAGCCAGGGGGAATCGCTCAAGGCCGACTGCTTGGCACGGTGGTAGAAAGGTGCTCCCCCGGGAACGCACCCGCCGGTCGTTCAACCAGATCCCAATTAATTTTGAGCGCCTTCCCATTCCCAGTTAACGTTAATATTAACCTGAATCCCAGTTAATCTTGATCTTAACGTTGATTTTAACGTTAATCTTAACGTTCACGTTAATCTTAACGTTCCCATTTTAATTTTGATCCCAGTTAACGTTAATCTTGGGTCGCGCGGTGCCCCTCCTCCCTTCTCCTCGGTGTGGCGAGCTGGAGGCCCAATCTAGCCTTCGACGCCCTCCTGCCTCGTGCTTCTGCGCGCTCCTTCCGGGCGGTGCCCCGGAGGTCCGATGCCGTGACTTTCTCCATGCGGGGCCGCGGAGGTCTCGGTCCAAGTCCCCAGGGCCAGCCTCTCACCCCGAGTCGTTCTCTGACCGTCCCTGGGGCCTAGCCAGGGCCACATAGAGATTGTTGGCGGCGAGCGAGGGGGGGGCAGCGAGACGGAGCATGCCTCCTCAGAAGGCGGCGGGACTTCTCAGAGCGCTCGCCGCCCTGCCGAGCAGAGTCTTCAGTCTGACGACTGGTCCGCCTCGGCGTGCTGCTTCTTCCTCTTCTCCTGAGAAGTTTTCCGTGCCTTCGAGGAAGGCTTCGAAGACGTCTCGGAAGGCCTGGGCGTTCCCGAGCCCTCCGAGAAGGCCCGCCCCTTCTCGCCTCCCCCCCCAGGGCTGGGCTCGCCGCCGAGACGGAAGATTGCGAGGCATTAGGGTGCCAGAAATCGTGGGGGGTAGGGGTAGGGTTCGCACGTGGCCCCCTAAGACACCCCCGTTCTGGCATTCTCTTGCGTCGCATCTCTGGGGAGCTGGACGGTCTGCCTTCTCTCGGGGCCGGAGGAGGAGGAGGCGGAGGAGGAGGCGACGAAGATGCCGACGGCGAAGAAGAGCAGCAATAAGACAACGCCGAGCACGATGAGGAATAACCAGACGACAACGACGACGAGAAATAATATTTATAACGACAAGAAGATGACGACCACGAAGCATAATCATTAGATGCATCATACGAGTAATAAGAGTATGAGTTCTAGTACTAGTATCGATGGTAATACGAGAAAGTAGTTATAAGACGAGAAGACGACAACGACGACGAAGACGTCGACGAAGAAGACAGCGGCGACGAAGACGAAGACGACGGCAACCACGACGCGCCGCGTGCCGCGGCCGCCGGCACGGCCAAGGCCCGCGCGAGTGCGTGCCTGCAGGGCAGCCCGGGGTCCCTGGGGGTCGGCGCGGCCAGGGCCGGTGCGAGTGCCGAGCGGGGGCGAAGCGTTCTGACCTGCTTAGATCTAGGCACCCCAGATTTCTGGATGCCATGACAATTGACACTCTAACAATCCTGGCATCAAAATGTGTAAAACATGGTCTACAAATGTCTCAAACATGCTTTACATGCTTAAAACATGTTTGACACATTTTTAGACATCTGGAAATTATTTGGCAGCATGCTTCCTCTCCGTTAATCAACTTCCACAATCCTAGATGGGGATGGAGTAGATGGGGGCGGAGGATCGAGCCGCATCGCCGATGCATCGACGATGCGGCTCGACGTGGAGCCCTTGCTTCGCCACGCCGACGTTGCCGATGCATCGCCGATACCTTGGCGATGCGGCGCGGTCCTTCGACCCCATCTGCTCGGACCCCTATCTAGGAGGCCTCTGTTAGAGGCCCACCAATCAATGGTCTAATAACCTCGTGGTGTGGTTTGCACGAAACGTTCCCATCGCAGTTCTGGTGAACCCAGTCTTGCTTCGACTCGCCGGGTCCGTGTCCTAAGGTCATTCAATGTCTTTGTGCTCAGAACGTCTTTCCAGTTCTAAGAGCAAGTCTTGGTAGGCCTATTAGAATGCCTGGGCTCCTCCTCCTCCCCTCCTCCTCCTCCTCCTCCTCCGCCTCCTCCTCCTCTCCTCCTCCTCCTCCTCCTCCTCGGTTGGTCCCTGCTCAAGAGTGGACCGTGGGCGTCCCCCGGCCCTCAGCCGAAACGATTTGTTTGCAGTCCCGGCGTGACTCCTCGGTTTCGGCCCCCCAGGGGCTCTTCGTCGGGCCACAGGGCCATGAGCATCCCGGGGCGGAGGAGGAGGAGGCGGAGGAGGGGGAGGAGGAGGAGGAGGGGGAGGAGGAGGAGGAGGAGGAGGAGGAGGAGGAGGAGGAGGAGGAGGAGAGAGGAGGAGGAGGTGCAATGAGCATCCCGGGGCCAGGGGGGGTGCTGTCTGCTTGCCGGCGGGGCTCGCTTCTCCGAACGGGCTGCGAGTGTGCTGCACGCGGGCTTGCCGACGGGAGGTCGGCGTGTGCGTGCAGCTCTCCCGGGTGGCCGGGCGAGCGTTCGGTGCGCACGGCGGCTGCCGCAGTTGTTTTCGCGCTGCCGCAGCGGGGCAGGGACGGTGGCGCTGCGCACTCCACGGAAGAGGAGGGGGAGGAGGGGGAGGAGGGGGAGGAGGAGGAGGAGGAGGAGGAGGAGGAGGAGGAGGAGGGGGAGGAAGGGGAGGAAGAGGAGGGGGAGGAGGGGGAGGAGGAGGAGGAGGAGGAGGAGGAGGAGGAGGCCACCAAACCACCCCAACCCAACCCGAAGGCTCAGATTTACCCTCGATGTCTAGTTTCTAGTGGGGGGGGGGTCCGGGAACCTCGAACAAACACACATGGAGCCCATACCCCCCCCCACACAACCCGAAATTCGGATCTTCGCGTTGGGTTGGGGTGGTCTGGTAGGTAGGCAGGGAT